GATGCTATTTTCTCAGTGAGTTACCACATAGTGAGAAAGGCAAAGGAGGATGTGGCATGAAAACTGCTAAAAGAGAAATCCCTAAAGAAGATTCGAAGAAACAGTAATCCCAGACTTGGTTAAAAGTCACAGAGAGCGCAAGGAGGCCTTTACTAGTACGACGTTTCACCCATACGAGGTTTCATCAAGTATTTGATAAAGTTTCATGTAGGGAATATGTCATCTTTTTGCCTCTTGTTAGTTGTGCAAACCTTAACAATCTTAAAGATTGTGAACTTTACTAAATACACAGCGTAAATCTTGGTGAGAATCAATTTGTTTTAGAGATGACTTGAGATGATGTTTCAGTATGAAAACCAGACTTCAGATCCTGACTGATCAGAGGTTTACCGGAGGTGTCATGGGAGGAGATACCTGCATTCACTTCACCCCATATTCTCCTCTGCCTCAAAAGTCTCCTCTGCTCACCATGGCATTTGTGACATCCGGAACACTTATCTTGGTATCTTCTTATCTTTGTTATCTTACATGACTTTTACCCCTGCATGCACCAGCCTCCCTCTCCCTACCTACATATCCACCCCACTTCCCTTATCTCTCCCCTCTACCCCACTCCCCTTATCTCACCCCCCCCCCATCTCTTCCCCACTCTTTTCCTATCATTCACTCTCTTCCTGATGTAATATACCACTATTCTCTCATCTTCCCTTCCAGATCATTCTCATGGAACATACCTGGTATATATTCTGATAGGTATATCTCGTATGATGTGTGTACAGTGAGAGGACCAGTGCAGGGTCTATATCTCAATATATTTTTTTTTAACAAAGTCACCCACCGAGACAAGGTGACCTAAATAGAAAAAGAAAGTTTTCTTCTTAAATTTAGTAATTAATACAGGAGAAGGGGTATCTCTCTCTCTCTCTCTCTCTCTCTCTCTCTCTCTCTCTCTCTCTCTCTCTCTCTCTCTCTCTCTCTCTCTCTCTCTCTCTCTCTCTCTCTCTCTCATATATATATATATATATATATATATATATATATATAATATGCACTTAGAATATACTTTAAACCCAATAGCCACATATTTT